CCGAGAAGGCACCGCCTGCAGAGCCGCGTCGCTTGAGGACAATCAGGGCCGTCTCCTGCCCAGCGTCTGACCCCGCGGGGTTGTTCTGTGTTTGCATTTCAGCAAGTGACTTCTGGGAAGTCCCCGCTGTGGGGGTTCTATGATATTTGTAGGGCCAGGGGCTCGGCCAGCCCGGTGCTCCAGCCTGTAGAGGACTTTCTTCAGGGCCCGTCGCTGCTGGGCACGCTCCCTCAGGCGGGCGTGCCGTGGGCACATTGCCTTTTGTGAAGGCGGAACTCCAGGTGTATCCTCATAGGAAGGTACTCAGCCTGCATGTGCTCGGCCCAGAGCTCTCCTGTTTCTTCTGGGCCGATGGGTGGCAGCTCGCTCTGGGCTGGCGGGAGGGTGGGGTCTGCACTACAATCCTTACAGGATTCCTCGGTGTGGGTGGGGGTGTGTGGGTACACTCTGTACTTAAAACTTGAGTGCTTGGCCCCATGGGTGCCCACGGACTGCTACGAAGGCTTCTAATAAAATCCGACTGTCAACCCCTCCACCGTCTGCGCCTCCTGTCTGTCCTGGGCAGCCACAGGCTGGCTCTGCATGGGTGAAGGGGAGTGGGCACCACATGTGACATAGCAGTGGGGGGGGGAGCGTGTGAGGGTCACGGCTGAGGGAGGAAGGGGAGAATGGGTCAGGGAAGGGGGAGCAGGAAGGAGAGGCACAGAAACAGAGGAGAGGCAGCTCTCCCCCCTCCCCCGATTGGTTCCCCATACAGACTCAGGTTTCTACCCCCAGATTTTCACTGGCTTCCCACGGGTTGTGCGGGGGTTGGGGGTGGCAGCTACGGGACCTCGGGCTCTATCTACTGGGAGAGTAGCACAGTGGACCTATTGCTACAGTAGAAAGGGGCTTATCCAGGTCACACAAAATAGAAACCATTGCTCTTCAACCCCTGCTCCTGCCCTTGGCTGGTAACACCTGTCCCCAGGGGTGCTCCCAGGGTACTTGCTTGGCTTATACACAGGGCTCTGAGGCTGGCTGACTGCTGAATCAGGTGGTACTGGCCATGAACCTGCCAGAGGTGAATCCGCGTCTGGGAAAGGGCACCTATTTTTAGACAGGCTGCAGCATGTTGGTCAAGCCTGCAGGAACCCTGAACCGCAGCTCCCAGGCAGCTGGCTCCCACAGCAGTGGGAAGGAGCTGGGTATATTGAATATTTTGTGAATGACAGTCATAAACCTGGGCCAGGCCCTACACTCTTCTTGTCTCACCCCCTCCAACCTTTGTCCCTTTTTTGTCTATTCTGCAGGAAGTATCTACGTAGGGCATCCCTCTGGTCAGCCGGGGGCCTCAGGGGCTGGTGAACAGAGGACAGTATCCCCATTCATTCTGCACGCTTATCACATGTGGAGGTGTCCGGCACTGAGCAAGGCAGTGTCCTGAACGTGGCCTGGTCCAGCTACTCCTGCTCAGGAGCCGGCCTGTCTCCCTGGTGTAGGTTCATCCATCCCCTCTCCCCAGGGCATGTACAAGGCTGACTTTGCCTGCAGCCTTGTCTGACACTGTTAAGCTCATGCCACATGACAGGAGCTGGCCCCACAATGAGAGACACCTCAGCCAGCAGGCAGAGGCTGAGGGCCAGAAACACAATCCATGTGCTCAGGTGTTGAAACCACCTTAGCATCTGTTCTGCTTCAACACCAGACTCTTCTCCCAAAGTGACCAGAGCCCCAGGGACTCACCGGGGGGCCCAGGATTCCTGTCTCCCCAGAAAGTGGCCTCCTCTAGGCAGCCTTCCCTGCTCCCCCCCTCCATTCCTTGGATTGCCATATTAAGGTGCACATCTTCTCCAGCTGCAGGTGCATGGGCCACTGGTCGGGCAGGGTCCTGAACTCTTCCAGTGTGCCTGGGACTTTTGGCGCTGAAGGTCCCACGCCCCTGGGGAAGCGGATGGTGAGTCACCCTAACGGATACCGGGGCCAAGCTCACAACAGACATGCAGACCCAGGTGGTCTCCTGGATGCACTCTAGGCAGGCTCAGAACATTTGAGTTAGCATCTGGCCAGCTTGGCAGCACAAGAACATCCAGATGTTTTCTGCTGCTGATGCTGCTGCCTCTCTATAGGTAACGGCCGTCTTTCCGCAGCCTTGGCCCCCAGAACTCCTGTCTAGGACTGGCCCCGGCGTCCCTGCAGCTGAGGCAGGCCAGGAGGGGCGGTGGCCTCATTAGCATAATCTATGCGCTGGGCGCTTAGCCGTCAAATAACATGCGCATATATCTCCATGGCTGATGAGGCTGGCCGGGCACTTTCAAAATGGCGGAGTGCGGAGCGAGCGGCGGCGGGAGCAGCGGAGACACCCTGGTCAAGAGCATCACGCTGCCTCCCGACGAAGTCTTCCGTAACCTAGAGAACGCCAAACGCTTCGCCATTGACATAGGTAGCAGCGGGCCGGGAGCCTGAATAGGCGGCCTGAGCGGCGGGAGCTGGCGTGGGCGGCGGGAAGGACG